TTTAAAATATTTAACACACAATTTACCTGTGACATGATTATACAGTGAATTAAACATTTGTATATAGAAGCAAAATGGAACAAGCATAGATATTGAAATCTAACCTAATTTTTAAAAAATTCAGTGTCACAATCAGACTTAGATGTTTGGCAATCTATAGCGTGGGTGCCAAAAAATCTACATGAAAACCCTTGGTTGGAACGCTTCACACTTTCCGCAGAGCAGAAACCGAAATAACTTTTATACAATTCACAAATAAAGCCCTTGAGTTTTCTGCCCATACCCGTGAGTATGTGTCTAAAAAATGTCTTTGTAGCAGGCAATCCCTGCCACCACTGCTTGGCTGAATTCACAGATCTGCAGTAACCTGTAGCTTCCCTGTCACTTCTGTGGTTTGCCTCTCCTGCTAAGCTGGTTTCGAATCCACTCAACTTCTCACTTGCCCTTTGCCCAGGTAAGCCTGAGAAAGTTGAGTTTAATTGCTATGGTATCTACCTAGTTACTCGAACACTGAATATTGTTGGAGAAATGATGTATAAACTAGGAAATAATACCCTATATAAGTGTCAAGTAGTGACATTAGAGGGACGTTGTTTTCTCAAAGAATGATGTTTCCATTTTGGGTAACTCTTGATAACAAAATTAGGTCTAAACAGCTCATGTATTTTAATACTCTATCTTTTCCTTGATAATCTTTCAAATCCAGTGCAAGTGAAAAGGCAGACTTAAATACTACAATGTAGAAGAATTGGACACAACTTCATGCTGAAATTGTTTCTTACCTCTAGCATTTTGAGGATTTGAAGTCATTTGAACACTGAATTGACTGTGTTAAAATAACACTGATGTGATTAAGAGGATTTTTTTAAATGGCACTTAACTTAGAAACTACTATAATGACAACGAGGCGTGAAAAAAATCAAAAGTATGTGCATTTTAGGTTTAAGGCGCTGTAATTCATGACGCGAGTATAGTGAATGTCTCCACATTTCTGAGGAACTACAAATAGTTGCTTGGCAAGTGATATGACATTTTAATGATACACAAACATAGGCAGTTGATGACTTTATCTTCAGACAAAACTATATTGGTAATTACAGAACACTTGAATATCTTCTGGGTTATAAGTTTTCTTTGAATTTGCTTATACACTTGGCGTATGTATTTTAAGGTAACCAAGTTTCCCCTATCAAATTGGAACCATCATGGTTCCTGGTTTGCAATGGAAGTTGCATTGGCAAATTTAAAAGTGTCAAACTGCCAAAGGCATCTTTAACACACTGGACAAGAGTAGTTGAAATTGGGCAGAGCAAGCAAATGATTCCATGGTTCATCAAATCACTAAATTTCCCTGTTCGAAGATTTGTAAACAAAATCCATAATCAAAAATGTCCTCCTTGTAGATGAAGCATATAAGACCCCATCTTTCTTTTTAGGATACTTAATGTATCACTTGTTAAAAGCATAAGCTTAATGCCATGAGTTAATTCAAGAAAGTACAAGTCAAGTGCTTATTATATGGCTCAAAGTATACCAAATGCTCTGAATGTATTAGGGACCACGACAGTCATTGCCTTCTAAAGTGTGTGAGCCGACACTCCTGATTCTAATTTCAGATTTTTCAGAAAGTGACTGTGGGTCAGAGCTGGATGCAGAAAAGCTGTCCAGGACCAAATGGTTAATAGCTCAAAAGGGTGTTTAAACTGGTGAATGAAGAAAACACATACTTTTACAAAATGGCAAACCAAGACAACACAACAGCCAAAGAAACAAGGTGTCCTTGGAACACAGTCTGAGTGTTTGCTTCCACTTGGCACCTTCTGCATCAAAAGATCCCCAGAGGCCTCCAAAAGTGGAGGGAAATGGTAAGTCAAGTGGAATGAAATTACAAAGTTAGAACCCATTTCTCAGGTGTGCGCTCCCAGGGAACCCATTCACTCAAAAACTGAAATGGATGCTCTATATACATCTCAGTCCAGGCAATCTGATTTTGACATAAGCTCAGGAGATACTTTGTTAATGCGGAGGCCACCCACAGGGAGGGATTATTCAAATTGAGTTCTGATAAGGATTAGGCTCAGTAGAGTGGCTTTGGGGGAGGTAAAGTGGACCAGTCTGTATCTTCAACCCATGGACATCCCCAGACACCGCTTCATGCTTTCCCACTCTAAGTAGACCCTCTTTGGCTTATACGAGACGTGAATGAAGGGGACCTTTCTGCTATAAAAGTGTGGAGCCCAAAGGATGAGAATAACTACTTAATTCTTTAGTATATGGTAAATTATATAGGAAACAAAAAAAGCCCTTCTGGCTCTTGGATGGCTGCTGCTGTTGTCGTCTTTCCTGAAGACACTAGCTCTATCACTTGCGTGAGGGGCACTTAACCAAGCTGTCTAACCCATTTAAGCCTCAGTGACCTCTACAGAATGGGCGTAATAATAGTACCTTTCTCCTAGGATGCTTCAAAGAATTGAGTAAATATAAATTGCTTAAAAGAAAGCCTAGCAAACAGTAAGCGCCACAACAGTGTCACGTTTTCCCTGTGGCACCAAAGACATCTGCTGCATCAAGGAAAACTAGTATTGTTGAAAGATGGGGGAAGAACCCGCATTAGTATTCCGCTCTTGTCTTTGAACTAAAATTTTTAAGTTCACAGTGATGAAATAGCTTTGACAGAGGAACAGACTCTGGCAATAAAAGGATATGCTGGATTCCAAACCTTGCTTTTGTATTGCAAGACCTCCTAAGCCGGGATGATTCAGGGTAGGGGATTTCACCGTAAGTTGATACCATAGGGTTGGGCAGCTTGTAGGAGATAGTTCTATCTGGACAGAAAGCAAAAAGATTGCTGCTGAAAAGGAAGGTGGGAGTGCAAGGAGTGGTTGTTGAATACCTAGGTTAAGTGCCCAAAACTGGACATAGAGAGAAGACCAGATGCATTCCATGCCCATGAGACTTAATCAAAGGCCAGTGAGAGCAACAAACTCTATCGGAGCCCTCCAGTGAGGGCACCCCCTTTGTATAATTTCCTGGATGGCATGAAAGCCAAAGTACATGCGGAAGATGGTCTTTTAGGAGAAGTTTTGAAATAATGCCCTGAGTTCAAACCCTTTGATGGGGTTTGACTCTGTGTCCCCACCCAAATTTCACATCAAACCATAATCCCCTCATGCCAGGGGAGGAAGTGATTGGATCATGGGGGCAGATTTCCCCTTTGCCGTTTTCTTGATAGTGAGTTCTCGCAACACCTGACGGTTTAATAGTGGCAGTTTCCCCTTCACTCTTGCTCTCTCGTTTGCCACCACGTAAGATATGCCTTGCTTCCCCTTTGCCGTCTGCCACGCTGGTAAGTTGCCTGCGGCCTCCCCAGCCATGTGAAACTTTAGTGAGTCAATTGAACTTCCTTTCTTTATAAATTATCCAGTCTCAGGTGGTTTTATATAGCAGTGTAAAACAGTCTGATACACCCCCACAGATGGCATTGTCCATTATACCTGGAGTTTCCATGTACTTTTGGCAGGAAGACAGCAAGGTGCCCACTCAGCTGATCTGCAGAGGCCTGAGAGTAGGACAGGGGACTTCAGAGAGTGGGGAGCTTTTCACTGGAGGCAAATGACTAGAAACAGAAGCAGTGAGCGCTAGACAGTGGCCCTCCTAATCAAGAAGTGTGATCAACCACTCTAAGGCAGACCCCATAGCAGGGTACCTCAAAAGTTCAGATCATTCACGTTGATTTATAAACAAAGGATCTCGCTTGGTCACTCAGGGTGAAGTGTAGTGGTGTGATCATAGCTTGGTGCAGCCTTGAACTTTGGAGCTCAAGGGTTCTTCCCAATTCAGCCTTCTAAAGCTCTGGGATTACAGGCTAGATCACCCACTTCAGAGAGGAGACTAGAGGGACCAGAGAATGACTTTACACACATCATTAAGATTTCCCAGTGTTTCTTCACCCTGCCATCCTCTTGAGATAAGGGGAAATGAAAGAGACAGACTCTACAGAAACAGGAGAGATGACGTTGACCTGGAAGGAATTGTTGCTTTGAAATGGTTCGTGTTAGGTCATCTTGCGGGCTCCCATCTCCATCTCATGGGTTGTTACTATTGGTCCCCAAGTTGTAGAAATTTTTTTTGCTTTTGAAACATTTTTAAAGATGGCTTTTGTTGATCATTTCAATTAGAGCAGGACTGACATCTGAATCCTATATAAATACATGAACACAGGGGGCTGAGACAGAATCACTTGAATGATTGCAGTGAGCAGAGAGCACACCACTGCACTCCAGCCTTGGTGACAGAGGGAAACCTGTCTCAAAAACCCACTAACCAGTTTTTGCATTGTTCAGCCCTTCCTAATGCAGCCACCACCATCTCCCTCCCCCAGCAGGTCCCTGTCTGTGTCTGTGGAAGCGCTATGTGTAGGACTCACCCTTCAATTGGAAGCTTCTACACACCTAACAAAGTCCCTCATAAAGCCAAGTTCTCCTTGAAGGGGAGTTTTAGTTCTGTCTCATTTTGTCTCCTATAGGGTGATGAATACTAAGTGGAAGCTGACTGATTCAGGAACCATTCATTTTGTTTGAGTGACTAGCCATTTATTACGAATATGTAGCTCCCCTTGAGCAACTTCTCCTTGAGGGTTAGGGTGTCACAGAACATTTAGAATTAGAAACTTAATTTCTAGTCTAATCTTTCATATAAACTGGGGCCCAAGGAACCTAGTGACTTGAAGGTTAGATTGTAAATGGTATTGCAGAGCCTCAAAGACGTTCTCCTGGTTGTAGCCCAGAGCAAAGACACACACTTTAAGGCACATTAATGGAGTGGCCTACAAATGCACAAGCTTGCAGAAGCACACATTGGGTTGAGAATTCCATTTATAAACATCCATTATGAAGTCATTACCTGAGAATATTCATGCACAGGTCAACACCTACAGGAAGATTTTGACCAGAGTTAGACTTACCTTCTGATTGCATGCTTTCCTAAGGTAACAACCACCATCAAAAATTGAGTAAAGAGTTCACTCAGTTTGGGGCCCAGATGAAAATGAGAGGAAAGAATGCCTGGCTTAGGTTCTGTTCTGAAGAGGGAAAGAGATTTGATTCATAGGTTCACAAAAGCTAACTTCACTGCAGAGGGAAAAGTGCTTCCAGGTGACAATTTCTAGGTTTACTGGAGTTTGGTGGAAGTAGATGCTATTGATGTGAGAGGTTAATGTCTGTCACAGTCCAGGTATTTTGCAATGGCTTTCTTCACAGCATGTTCATTTTAAGAGTAAAGAGGTCTTTATGGTTCATGGAAGTTTAATGAGGATTACAATAGCCCCCCAGATACTTACAACAGTCATTTAAATAACCCTAACCTCTGTTATGAGAGGGAACTTGGCAATTTTAGGTATTATACACATTCTTTTGAAAACTTTACCGTTTCCACAGGCTTTTCCAGTTATCTCCTACATACTGCAATTATACATTGTGGGGTAGTATGTGTTGCTATGGAAATGCCCTCCAGTCCTTACTCGGACACGTAAAAGAGAATCCTTGGGCTCTGTTTTATGTGTCTTTACATACACATATTCCACATGTAAGATTATGCAGTATTTTTATTTTGGTGTCTGGCTTATTTCACTTAGCATAATGTCCTCCCAGTCTATTCATGTTGTAACAGATGAAAGGTTTTCCTCTGTTTTGAAGGCTGAATCATACTGCGTTTTATCATATTTTATTTTTGTTAATTGATGGGTATTGAGGTGGTTTCTGTCTTGGCTATTGTGGATAGCGCTGCCGTGAGCATGAGCGTGCAGGTATCTTTATGAGGTTGTGATTTTTATCTCCTTTGGGTGTTATCCCGGAGATGGATTGTTGGGTCAAAGGGTAGTAGTTCTATTAAATTTCTTTAGGGATCTCAGTATTGTTATCCATAACGGTTGTATCAATCTAAATTTCCCGCAGTGATATTTGTGACTTCTCTTTTCTCCACATTCTTGGTAATAATTGTTTTGGTAACAGTCATCCTTAAGACTATGAGGTAATATTTCATAGTGGTTTTAATTTGCACTTCTCTTATGATAATGTTGAGCACATTTTCATATTGGCCCTTTTAACATAATCTTTGGAGAAATGTCTGTTGGATCTTTTGACTGTAATAAACAATTTAAAAATTTTTAAATTCAAAGAGTATATATATTTGTTGCAGGGATATTATTTGCATAACAGTGGGGACTTGGCTTCTAGTGTACCCATCACAAGATACTGAATATAGCACCCAGCAGGTAAATTTTAAACCCTAGTTCAATGCCCTTAAAAGTCCCCATAGTGTGTTCTTTTTATATCAATTTAGCTCCCATTTGATCTTTGATTTTTCTGCTTCTGGGTTCATTAGATAGTGACCTCCATCTCCATGTTGCTGCAGAGGGCATGATTTTGTACCTTTTTATGGCCCTGCAATATTTCATGGCATATATGTACACCACATTTTCTCTATCCAATCAACTGTTGATGGACACAGGTTGGTTCTATAACTTTGCTGTTCTAAGTAGTCTGTGCCCATTTGTTGATTGGGTTTTTCTGCTCTTGAGTTGCAGGGGTTCTTTATAAATCATGGATGAGGATATCAGATGTGATTTGCAATTATCTCCCAGTCTTTATTTACTTTTTTGAGATGGAGTTTCGCTCTTGTTACCCAGGCTGGAGTACAATGGCGTGATCTTGACTCACTGCAACCTCCGTCTCCTAGGTTCTGGCAATTCTGCCTCAGCCTCCCAAATAGCTGGGATTACAGGCATGCGCCACCATGCCTAGCTAATTTTTTGTATTTTTAGTAGAGACGGGGTTTCACCATGTTGACCAGGATGGTCTCGATCTGTTGACCTCATGATCCACCCGCCTCGGCCTCCCAAAGTGCTGGGATTACAGGCTTGAGCCACCGTACCTGGCCTCTCCCAGTCTTTAGTTGCCCTTTCATTTTGATTGTTTCCTTTGCTGTACAGAAACTTCTCAGTTGGATATAGTAACATTTTTATTCTATAGCCTCAGCTTTTGGTATAATATTTAAAAAATGCTCATATATCATTGCTAAGGAGGTTTGCCTTTTTGATCTCTAATAGCTTTATGGTTTCATGTGTTACAGTTGCATCTGTTATCCATTTTGAGTTAATTTTTGTGTGCAATGTAAGTTTATGGGTCAGTTTTATTCTTTTACATGTGGAAATGCAGTTTTCTCAGTGCAGTTTATTGAAGAGACCATCCTTTTCCCATTGTGCCCTCTTGATGCCTTTGTCAAAAATAGGTTAAGTTTGAATTTATTTCTGGGCTTTCTATTCTGTCAGTCTTTATTTCTATATTTATGGCAATAAAATGATTTTGATTACCATGAAAGTTCTTAATAGAGTTTTTAATCAGGAAGCATGATGGATCTAACCTCATTGTGCTTTCTCAGTATTGCCTCAGGTACTTGGAGTTTTTCGTGGTTTCATACAAATCCTAGAATTTTTATTTCTACGCAGAATACAGTTCGGAATTTTGACAGGGACTGTGTTAAAACTGTGTAGTGCTCTGGGGAGAATGGACATGTTTACAATATTCCCATCCATAAACATGGAATATACTTTAAATTATTTACATCTTCAATTATTTTCATTAATATTTCATAGTTTTCAATGTACAAATTTCTATTTTATGTTGGGGATTTTTATTAAGTAGGTATTAGCTGCTGTTGTCATACGAAAAGTATGTGAGGTGATGGTTATGTTAATCCACTTCACCGTAGTAGCCACTGTACTTCCTGTATGTATCCAATGAAACACCATGTTGCAAACTTCAAATATATACGATAAAATATATCTTTTTAACATATAAGCCTTGGAGATATACCTTATTTAGCCAATAACTTGCTGTCCTTTTATCTCCAAACACCACCTTCTGCCACACATTTTGGCTATAAAAATAGTATTGAAAACAAGGTAAACAAGGAATTAAGTAAAAATGCATGTCTTCTGGAAAGTCAACCAAAAGGGCCTCCTGTAAACATGTCCATTCTCCCCAGAGCACTGCACAGTTTGACACAATATATAAAAAGATAAGTGATGTTATTGAAGCTAATCTTTGTTAGCTACTTATCTCATCTCAGAGGTTTTAAAGTTTTTAAAGTTTACCTTGCAAGTGCTTCAGAATGATTGGGAGGGATTAAAAGTCATGCCTAGCACCATACTTCCGATCCCGCGACTTCGGTATGTCTACGGTGGTAGGGCCCCAGAATTTTTTTCTAACAAGTCCCAGGTGATGTTGATGATGCTGATCCAGGCATCAGATTTGAAAACCACTGTTCCAAGCATCTACTAAAAATACAAAAAATTAGCTGGGCATGGTGGCTCATGCCTGTAATCCCAGCACTTTGGGAGGCCGAGGCGGGTGGATCACGAGGTCAAGAGATCGAGACCATCCTGGTCAACATGGTGAAACACCGTCTCTACTAAAAATACAAAATTAGCCAGGCATAGTGACGCACACCTGTAATCCCAGCTACTCAGGAGGCTGAGGCAGGAGAATTGCCTGAACCCAGGAGGCGGAGGTTGCGGTGAGCCGAGATCGCGCCATTGCACTCCAGCCTGGGTAACAAGAGCGAAACTCCGTCTAAAAAAAAAAAAAAAAACTTGGTAAATTGGTTAAAATGTAAAATATACCTACCATTTTCAAGTATACAGTTTAGTGACATTAATTAGTAACATGGCTGTGCAAGTATGCCCGCCATCCATCTTCAGAACTTTCCCATCCAAGGGGAAACTCTGTACCCATGGTATCAGTAACTCTGTTCTGTTCTTCCCCACAGCCGCTGGCAACCACAGTTCTAGTTTGTCTCTGTGAATTTGACTATTACAGGCATCTCAAAGTAGAATAATATATTTGATTTGTGAGTGGCTTACTTTCTTTAGCGTGATATCCTTAAGGTTTGTTCATGTTATGGTGTATGTCAGAATTTTCTTCCTCAAGGCTAAACAATACTCTATTGTAGGTACATACCGCATTTCATTTATTCATTCATCAACCCCACTGATGAACATGGGGTTGTTTCTTTCTTTTGTTTGCTGTGAATAATGCTGCTATGAACACAGGCGTATAAAAGTCTGAGCCTTTAGTTCTTTGGGAATATACCTAGAAGTAAAATTACAAGCATTTTACAAGTATGATTATACTTCTACTTTAGAAAACATATGCTGTTATCCCCACTTTAAGTACAAGGAAATGGACATCCAGAATTCACCAAATTATGTTGGGGTCACACAGCTGAAAAACAGACCATGAATTCCAGTGCAAGCAGGCTGGTTCCAGGGCTCAGACACCTCCTTCACTGCCATACCTGAGGAAAGCAATCCCTTTTTTGCGTGGAAAATTCCCACAATTGATGCAGACATTGTTTATGAGTGGAAGTAATTACCTTTTAAAAATAATGGCTAGCATGGGATTAAATCAAATGTAAGAAATAAGTTAAAAGATAAATAGTCCATCTAGTTTATACGCTATTTCTGAAACAGAGTAAGCTAAACTATTTCTAAAATCTGCCAGTTGGAGGGCAAACGTATTTCCAGTTGCCCAAAGAGTTCCACTCTGAGTGGCAGAAATGACAGTCTCACCGTGGAGTAGAAGTGTCCCTTAAATAATTAAAATAGAAGAATTGGTCCTTTGTCATACACTCAGTTCTCTGTGTAATTAAACCAAACCATCCATTGAGAAATATCCACAGTAGTTTCTGCATGCTGTTAAGTTAAATTGTCATGTGGCATGAATCAGAAGCCATGAATGGAATATTATAGGAAAAATCCAGCACAGTACATATGACACAATGTAACAGAACCATGTGGGTGAGAAAAACCACATGGGGCTCGGTTTAAGAGATAAGATTTCTTTTTCTGGAATTCCTCTTTCTTTTCTGTGGACTGCCTCCTTGCACCTCTAAGATTCAGAGGCTTAGTGTATATGACAGTGCACCTCAAGTATGAGAGAAATTGTGGTAAAGTATAAGAACTTACCATTTTATTTTCAAGTGTACAGTTTAGTGACATCGATTGTAGTCGCATAATTGTGCAACAGTCACCGTTGTCCATCTGCGAAACTTTGTCATGATCCAAGCTGAAACTATATCCACGGATCAATAACTGTTCTCTCCTCCCCACAACATTAAATGGTCGAAAGAGGTGACCAACAAGTAAATTCATAACCACTGCAGTTAGTCTCTCTAAAAAGATGTTGAGAAGTACACCATATCAACTATGAAAGTTTTACATGTATTTTAAAGCTGTACATTTATTCTCAAGTTACATTCGGGATGGATGCACATCCCCTGCCTTGCCAGCATCAGTGCTAGGTGAATGGTGGCAGATCCTTACAGCATCATTGTGTTGGCAATGAAAGCCAACCTTTAGGTAAAAGAGACTTAAAGATGAAAGTGTATGAAAAGGGCAGGTTTCCACTCTTTGATCTAGTTCAAGTCATGCGTGTAATGACTCCTAGAAATCTAGAGAAGGATTTCTATCTTTTAATTAAGAATCCCTTTTTCCTGCATGTGGCAATCTTGTATATATTTGAAGACCCCCTGCTTATGTGTTCCCCATCTCTAGTTTTCTATGCTGTAACCTAAATGGCTCCAGCTCTTCCAGTTTCTTTCTTTCTCCATTTTCAAACTACTGTAAAGAACTACCCAAGACTGGGTAACTGATGAAGAAAACAGGTTTGATTGACTCACAGTTCCACAGGATTAACAGGAAGCATGACTGGGAGGGCTCAGGAAACTCAAAATCATGGCGGAAAGGGAAGGGGAAGCAAAAGCAAACACCTTCTTTACGTGGAAGCGGGGAAGTATCACACACGTTTAACTATTGGTGTGAAAAGTCACTATTATGAAAACTGCAAGGGGGAAATTCACCCTTATGGTCCAGTCATCTGCTGTCGAGCCCCACCTCCAATTTAACATAAAGTTTGGGTAGGGACACAAATCCAACCATATCACTCCATGAATTTTCTGACTTTATCTTATGTGTGGGTCCTCTGAAAGAACTGTCATTAGTTAGAAACTCTGCCTAAATGCTTGCTTCCTTAAATTGCCGTAAACTACAACCTTACTAGTTCTTTTAGGATAGCTATTTTATGAAAATGGAAACTTAAATTATTATGGGGTACAAGGGTCTCTTATCACATCTCCTATGCTTCCAGTTTCACTTAAATATTTTTATGTTTATATTTCAAAGGCTGATGACAATTGGTACAAAGGGGAAAAACAAATCAAGCATGTGTAATTTCTTAACACATTGCTTCCACCTGACTCATGTTTATATTTTAATGTTTCTCTTGTATGAAACTTTCAGAAAATATTTTCTGGTGTTTAGATATAAGGTGTAAGTCTGGATACATTCTGATGGGAGCCTCCATGATACTGTTTCTGCAGCATGAAGTATCTTTTATTAACACTTCATCTTCCTTTCCATATCTAGGGCATGATATTTTAATATCTGAGCTCAAATGACTGTTTGACACATTGATTTCGCTGGATGACTCCTCTTACAGTTCTCGAAGTACTTAGATCTTAAATGAATGCAGAATTACAAGTATCACTTACAAAGCTATGTTCTGTAGCAATGTCTCTCTATGCTAGGGAATCTTCATTATTTCTTGGAGATATACTTTAAAATATTTGATAATTTGAAATCAAGACCATGCCTAAATATTCATGGCATTTCTTCCCATCAGTTGGATTCTTAGTTGGATACAAGAGATACACACTCTATCATTTAAGTAAAATAAGACTGTGTTGAAAAAAAATACAGGATCTCTGGGGACTGAAGAACAAATCTTGGTGGCTATCCAGAAACAACATCCCAAATCTTAGAACGGAGCCTCTTGTATACTTGTTAAAAATCTGATTAGTCCCTCTTCTTTAACTATATTGCTTTATAGGTCAGTTCCATGAAGACTTCGATAGCTGTCTGCAGGTGCTGTCAGGATGCCTGGCCTTGAACTTGCTTGCACAATTTACTTATCACCTGAGAACAAGCTTCTCCACAACTGCAACTACCTTCAACAACCCAAGGGTGCAGAGAAACTAATGTCCATGGGACCACCTTGGAGCAATAATCAGAGCATGAATCTTCCTCCCTTTTATTCTCTAGGTATCCAGCTGTGACATTCATTTCACTAAAATTTTCAGACAGTCCTAGTAGAAAATATCCTCGTAGTTCATCATGGTGGCTAAGTCAGCGGCACACCCCCGTAGTAACTGTATTTCCTTCTTGGCTCCAATTTCTGCTGTATCATCCTGTTCCCTGCTGCCTGCTCCATGGGATAATGTCCCCACAAAAACTACCAGCTCACAAGTCTTTTTTTTTCTAGTCTTGTCTTTTGGAAGAACCGACAGTAAGAGAGCTTGATTTTCTTTTTTAATTTACCCCCTGTATTAGCTTATAAGATAGTACTTTCTTTTAGATATGTAGAAACTGCAGCATGGATTCTGAATTAGTCTAATTTAATACTTTTGCCTCATCTTGGTCAATGCAAGAGCCTTAATGAACTTTCCTCCCTAACTCATGGACAGTTGGTGTTAAAAACATTGTAACTTTTAAATTTCACAAAACATGAGAATGTTTGCTTCACAAAACGTTCTCATGGCTATACAATCAATCACTTGTTGTACTTACTGCTCTTTTAATATTCTCCTTCTTCTGAGAATACTTTTTACTAATCCTTCTCGTGAAGGTCTGTGGTGGCATATGCTTTGAAATTTTTACTGCAAAATGTCTTCCATTTTTTTACTAGATATAGAATTCTGTATTGACTGTCTATATTGACTTTCTTTTAATACTTTTCAGAAATGAGAAATAGTTGTTTTGGGTTCCATGGCTTCATTTAAAAAATTTAGCCATTTCTGCTATGAAGTTAATACGTATTCTTTTTTTCTGGCTAATTTTAAAGATATTTTTTTTTTTTTGGCAGTGTTAAGGTGTGTGTTTTAGTCATCTGTGTGATATTTATAGCCCCTAGGATTGCAGTTTAAGGTATTTCATTAATTTTGGAAAATTATCTGCCATTACATTTTCAAACATGACTTCTACACCTTATCTTTCTCTTGTCCACGACTAAAGTTACACCATGTCAGACTTTTGCCCACGTCCACTATCTCCTTTAAAGTGCTAACACATCATACACTTTGTAAACTCTTTATTCTTGATATTTTAGAGTTCAGATAGGTAGGTGAGAATCAAGCTGTCTAAACTGACACTAGGTACATCCATTTGGGAATTAGTTTTATTTATATGGTTTTATTTTTAGAACTTTCATTTTACACTCTATTAAAGCTTCTAGTTTGCCGCCAAATTCTATCTTTTAATGGTTAAAACTTCTTAGTTACTTGCTTTTTAAACGAAGTCTCACTCTGTCACTTAACACTGCAACTTTTGCCTCCCAGGTTCAATCCATCCTCCTGCCTCAGTCTCCTGAGTAGCTGAGACCACAGGTGCCCACCACCACTCTTAGCTAATTTCTGTATTTTTAGTAGAGGCCGGGTTTCACAACATTGGCCAGGTTGCTCTCAAATTCCTGAACTCAAGTAATCCACCCTGTTGAGAAATGCTGAGTGTGTAATTGCTGAAAAATGTTGTACATGATAGAATACAGTGTTTCCAGTAAGAATGATGGCAAGGAAAACCTAGCCACCCACCTCCGCGCCGCTACAAGTAGAAAACTACTTGGGGCATTCTAAAGAGGCAGGACAACATACAAATATCAGACACTGGTTAAAAATTCTTTAACCGTGGGTCATCTCACCCTACCCTTGTGGGTCCCTCCTAGAGAATGCATTTTATTTTGTCTGTGATCAGTGGTGGGTGGGCACCAGCTGCCTACCTGGTATATTTGTGTGTTGAGAAAATACAGAACATCGGTTAATAATCATCACCTGTTCAGAGAGAATAAATGCATGGGTCAAGTCTGCTCAGGGTCTTCAGCCTGGAATGCAGTCAGACCCCCGAGGCTTTCAGCTCAGAAAGCAGTTGACCCGCCGATAGTCCCACTTTGCTGTTCTGTCTGGGGGTCTGCTTCTTAATGTCTTCAGTGCAGCCTGGGTGGGAGTCTCTATGGCTGAGCTGGTCTGAGCACCACCCACCTTGGCTTCAGGCAAATATCTAATTTAGGATTAGGTTACCTTAATCTCTTTGGGAACTGTGTCTGCTACATAAATTAGATATTTATGCAGCACAGGTTTCTGGTTCACTTACAACCTTAGGTGGCTTCAGGAACCCAACAAAAAGCCTGACTGGCTTCCCCAGTTCGCCTCCTCCTGGGTGAGTATAAACTCCATCTTTGCTTCCTTCTCCGAGTCCCATAGGACTGTAGCCATTTCTACTTCTCAATTCCTTAGCAACTGCCTTCAGAACTGGGATTGCCTTGAGTGGAGATGGAACCAATTGTCAAAATCTCATTTCTTGACTTTTCTTTTTCCAGATCTTAGACCTGTAAATACTCATGACCTTAAAAGCAGTTCTCTAATATCAAACATTTTTCTTAGTAGGATTTGGGGTCCAGTTTATTCCAGTACTTCTGGAGACACAAATTAGTCTATCAGCATAAACTGAACTTCCCTCCTGATTTTAAAAACTAAAAGTCTTAAACTTAACAGTGTTAAGACACACTGCTTTTTGAAGGGAACAACTGGCTGCTGGTCTCACCTTTCTTCCCTATGTCTCACTATTTTCACCAGAAAGAACACCAGACTGCAGAGTTCATTTGATTTGAGCTGCAATAGCTCCTGTACCTCCTGGATACTGATTCACAGATAGACAAGGTGATAATAGCTTCTATCTTACAGTATTGTTTGCTGACAATTAAGGCACTATTTCTTGAGTAAAAACGTTTTACCTCTAAATGTTGGAGAAAATGCGGATAGTGAAGATAGGAATAATTTACAAAAATACATAAAGCTGTGAACTAAAAGAATAGATAAAGCATGATGAGGTTGCTGGAGGATCTAAATATGTAGTAACAGTAACATTTTCCTAGAGTATATTAACTTTTCTTTTGGGAGAAATAGTTATTGCATAGAACCAAGAGTATGTTAACCCTAAAAAAATAAATTTAAAAACCAAATCACAATTGGGGAGTCTGACTGCATTCCAGGCTGAAGACCCTGAGCAGACTTGACCCATGCATTTATTCTCTCTGAACAGGTGATGATTATTAACGGATGTTCTGTATTTTCTCAACACAAAAATATACCAGGTAGGCAGCTGGTGCCCACCCACCATTGATCACAGACAAAATAAAATGCATTCTCTAGGAGGGACCCACAAGGGTAGGGTGAGATGACCTACAGTTAAAGAATTTTTAACCAGTGTCTGATATTTGTATGTTGTCCTGCCTCTTTAGAATGCCCCAAGAGCAAAATCACACTAGTACAATATAAATGTTACCGTTTAGCTTAGGATTGTTTCTGCTGTTAATTGATAGTGAATCTTGGATCTTGAGCAGAATAAGTGAAAATTGAAATTCAGGAAAAGCATTGTCCTTGTTAACATCGTGGTGGTAGGGAGAATATGGTATTCTGTTATTCGTACCATTCCCCACTTGGACATATCTCTTCCAGATTTAACAGGAAAATGAAGGAAAGGCTGGGAGAAAGCTTCGGAGCAGAGTGGCATAATTGAGGCAATCGGAAGAACCCATGTCATAATCCATCTCATACTGCATCCAACAGCCCAAGTCATGTACTATTCATATAGCAATAAAAAATTATTCTGAGAGATGGTGAAATTTGCAATGTTCTGTTCAGAAAGTTAAGACTTCAGTTTGTGGGACCTAAGAAAGCGAGAAAGTCTGGATAGGAAAAATGAAGTTCTTTATATGCAAAGATAAGCTACAAAAACTGGTGATGTGGTTTGATGAATTTTAAGCTAATAACCGTAAAAGGCAAGTTTGAGGGACTCTGAGTGACTGAGTTCTGTTAGATATTAAATGTACATACCACAAGTGTATAAGCTGATGGATTTACAGTAAGTATACTCATGTAACTGTCAAGAAATAGCTTACTACCATGACCACAGAAATCTTTCCTTGGCTCTTCCTGGTCAAACTACCAAGCAAAGCCATTATTCAGACTTATAATCCAATTGACTCTTTGTTTTTGAAGTTTTTGTAAATGTAGTGACACAGCCTACTCATGCTTGTCAAGTGTTAACTTTGTGAGATTATCTATAGTTGTACCTTGAAGCATAAGCTAGAGTCTTCTATGCTCCATGGCACGAATGCAACATAAACGATTGGTCCATACTACAGGTGGTGGATAGCTATAGGCTTGGGTTATTAGAAATAACATTTCTGTGAACCTTATTGCATATCTTTTAATGTATATTTTATGTATTTCTGTTGACCTATATGTAGAGAGCCAAAGTAGCCCACCCCCTCTGGGGGCGGTCAGCTGCAAGGCTGCTGTGAACTTTGGGTGAACTGCAGAGAAGGGAAACCGTAATGGGGGAATGTGTATGTCTCAGAGAAGAGCAGATGGACCTAGAGAAAGATAACCAGCTTTCACTGACCTTGCTGCAAGATAGTTGTGAGCTGAAGTATGTTAACTGAAGTGTGAGAATTATAACCAAAGGTTGTTCTGGGTAACTGCACCCACCCTCTGCTATGTGCTTTGTGAACATAAAAAATAAACTGAGACAGGTCAGGGCCGAAGAAACTGACGTCCTCATTTTCCTGGACCGCCTGGCCCAGCTTGTTCTATGTTATGTTTGTCTTTGTGTTTCTCTTCATCCCCCACCGTTACCTCTTAGGTCTTTGAACCCTTGTGTAGTGTGGAATGCAGCACATGCCAGAACTATATACCTGGTGGTTTAATTGCTGGATCATGAAATATATGTGAACATGTATTTCATAAAATGTATGTGTATATATTCATATCTAGTATATACACAGCCAAAGAAATGTCTGAAGTACCAGTAAGCATTTCCCTTTCACCAGCGAAATACCAGTTACTTTCTCCCACATCTTGTCTAACATATGGTCATCCTTTCAATTTTATCCACCCTGGTTGCCATGTAACTTGCTCTTTTGTATGATTGATGGAAAGTATCTTATTTACTAATCGGCTTATTGGATGCTCTCATTTGTGAAGTGTGATTTATTAAAGTTGTTCTATTCTGGAAATAAGTTCCTTGTTTATATATTGCAAAAACCTCTTTCACTCTCCTTTACCTCTCTAATCTCTTTGGGTGTCTTTTAATAAACAGATGTTCCTAATGTTGATGAAATTCCATCTACAAAACTTTTCCAGTAGGACTACTGCTTTTTGCATCTAATTCAAGAAAATTTTACATACTGTAAAATCAAGAAAAATATTTTTTGGATTTCAGTTCCCTGCAGAATGTCTCTCACTATTTTCTTGAAATAAATCAGTTTTAAACTTCTTTTCTGCAAACAGCAAAATACAGTGATAATAGGCTGTTTTTACTATTGTTACTATTGTTTTCTGGAAACTATTTTTGACTCTTTTGAATGCTGTTCATTTTGTATGAAAAAATTTCCGGGTTCTAGATGCTGTATTCTTCCCTGGAAACTGGTAGGTTTTTTTGTGTGTAAATTTAAAGTACAAGTGCAATTTTGTTACGTGCACATATTGTCTGGCAGTAAAGTCTTGGCTCTTAGTGTATCCATCCTCTGAATGATGTACTTTGTATCCATTAATGTCACTTCTCATCCTCCTCACTTCTGCCCACCCTGTCCAGTCTCCAATGTTTGTTATTTCATATTCTGTATCTATGTGTACACATATTTAGTTCCTACTCATAAGTGAGGTATGTGACTTTTTGTTGCTGAGTTGTTTCACTTAATATTATGACTGGCACAGTGGCTTATGCCCATGCATAATGCTAGCACTTGGGGAGGCCAAACCAAGCAGATTGCTTAAGCCCAGGAATTCAAGAACAGTCTATGTAACATGGCAAAACCCCATCTCTACAAAAAGAAAGTCAGGCATGGAGCTGTATGCCTGTAGTCCCAGCTCCTCAGAAGTCTGAGAAGAGAGGATGGTTTGAGCCCAGAACATCAAGGTTGCAGTGAGCTATGATCGCTCCTCTGGAGCAAGCCAGCCTGGGTGAAGACAGAGTGAGAGAGACCCGGTCTTAAAAAAATAATGATGGTTGTATGTAGTTAATTTAGAACATCACATATGCAAGCAGAGATTGCACAGAGTGGAGAGTATGTCTGTTGTTTTTCTTTTTACAAAACCTGGCCTATTTTCTGGTTACTCTACTTACAAGTTGTTTATCAGGATGCCTTACTTCTTAGAGGAACTAGATTCTAGTTTCATACTTTCCTATATTGTGAAACTGCAAAGTTCTCTGAGTTACCTTCTTAGAAATTTAGACCAATCTTGGCTTAGCCTCTCACCCTGCAGCCCTTCTCCATTGACACAAGCAGCTTAAAGCTGAAAATTGGAGCAGCTAGGTTCACTTTGCACCTCTTCCCTTCTCTGCGGGGTTTGGCCTCACGAGTCCTGGCTGCTTTAAGAAATCTGAGCCCTGCTCTTCGACTTTCCCACCTGAAAGACTGCCATACACACTCCTTAGCTGCTACTTTCTGCTCAGCTTTTCTACATCCTACCCTATGCTGTTCAACAATCTTCAAATGCCATGACTAAAAATACGGAATGTTGGGCTCATCTCCAATGTGCTTTCCTTCTCTCCAGGTTCTTGGCTCCGGAAGTTTTAACTGCCTTGACAGCGCTGATACCTTCACAAATGTTTTTTATTGTATTTCATTTTCTAGTGTTCTTGGCATACATTTTGGTCAGCTGCAAACTAATCTATCACCAGAAGCAGAGATCTTCAATTACTACACTCTTGAGTCCAAAAATAAGCCCTAAAAATGAAAGAACATGATTGATAGGACCAAATTACCATCAATCTAAAATATTTAAGTAAATGTATGACCACATTTCAAATGAGATTATTTGCTGATTTGATAATTGAAATGACTCATAGAGCTACATTAATTTGGCCCCTCAAGATCCCAACATGAAAGATATAATTTAGGAAGTATTAGTATATATGAAATGCAATTGAATGCATAATATATTTCACTTGAAATCCAAGAAGTAGCATATTCTTGACATAGAAAACACTTTCCTAATTAGCTCTAGTAGCTGTTATTTATTGTTCACAGGAACTCTAATCTGCATTCTAATTAAATACAACTCATGAAATCCACGAAAGGATTACAGCTATTTATATTTTTGAGATGAGAAAATAAGCAAAGAGTGAAAAGAAACTTAAGGGTACACTGTGGTAACGAGAGCAGCCAAAATTCAACTGAAGTGTATGTGATTCCAAAGCCCAAAGGCACCTCTATTGTATATACTGTTCAATAAATGTAGCCTAAGTTAGCTTGGGAGGGAAAACACTGAGTATGTACATAGAGATAAATGTAAATGGAATGTTTATATGAAGCCATCTTCTCAAAGAAATTTCAGAACTGCTGATACTCTGTATACCTGCAAAAAAAGGACAAATGAAGTAACTGCTCTGACCGCTATTCATCGGATTCACCTAATTTGTTACAATTTTTTAATAGTTTGAGGTCCCCGCTGGGAAAGTCAGCACTGATTGCATAAGCATCACCAGGAGCTGCAGCTGTCCCCGCATCCCTGCTTGTTAGTTCAATAATGCGGAAGTGAAAATGAAGGCTATGGGGGCCCCTGTGATAATGATAATGTTGGACTTTAGGATGTTATTAACAATTTGCAATACAAAATGAGTAGTCTGCAGGAGGGGAATCATACTGTGATCATACCTAATCAATGTAAGAATTAAAAACAAGCTAACGTGGGGAGGCACAGATGCAGATATTGGGAACTAAGCTTCTAGCCTGCCATTAGACTGACAGTCTTTGGCTTCAAGGTCAGGACGTGTGCTCAGATTTATCCTTTCCTACCGTTTTCATTGAATCAGGAGAAAAACTAGAAAACCGCACATTAATGTACAGAGTCTCTTTTGCTTCCATGCTGAATGGAAACTCCTGGGACCAGTCACTGGAGATCATGTAGACTATACTGAGATGTAAATCAACATTGGCTCTCAAGCAGTGCATTAATAATCAGAAAACATGTTAGATGTATCTTCCTAATATATTGTAATTAATCTCCTCAGTTTAGCTCTCCTAATATGTTCACTCTCAAAGTATTTAATGCATCCCCATTCCCAGTGTGTGATGGCTAATAGAAATCCACCCTAAAAGAGGAGTTGAGCATTTTTGAACAGATAGGAAGTCTGGGGTTATATAAGGGCTTAAAATACACATATAACCTCCATTTCCAGAAACCACAGTCTCCACGTACAATGAGTGCTGCATTTAGTTGAATTTGTCTCTTTTTGTCCCAGGTAAAGTGATGGTTTCTTGGTTTCTTGTTTCAGTGAAGAACTGTAAAAGGCTCTTAGAACTACATTTTTATTTCATATGCATATTAGTTTCAATTTATTTTGGCAACAACTTTTAAAGGTTATTGAAAAATGATTCACCAAAAGCAATTAAAAATTGTTAAGAATAACTACTGGTCCCACTTTAAAATCATATTACTGTTTGAGGTTTTTTTTTTTTTTGAGACGGAGTTTCGCTCTTGTTACCCAGGCTGGAGTGCAATGGTGAGATGTCGGCTCACCACAACCTCCGCCTCCTGGGTTCAAGCAATTCTCCTGCCTCAGCCTCCTGAGTAGCTGGGATTACAGGCACGTGCCACCATGCCCAGCTAATTTTTTGTATTTTTAGTAGAGACGGGGTTTCACCTTGTTGACCAGGTTGGTCTCGATCTCTCCACCTCGTGATCCACCCGTATTGGCCTCCCAAAGTGCTGGGATTACAGGCTTGAGCCACCGCGCCTGGCCAAGTTTTTATTTTCTAAGATTAAATGAGCATCAAATGAGAAGAGCCAGATCTTTTACCAAAATTATCAAGTGAATTTGCATGTGAACAGTAGATCCTTCCTATGAATATGAGGTCCATGACAAATATATCCAGTTATTTAGTGATGGGAGTAGCAGATGGCTCTAAAATTTTCCTTTTTTTTTTTTTTTGAGACGGAGTTTCGCTCTTGCTACCCAGGCTGGAGTGCAATGGCGCGATCTCGGCTCACCGCAATCTCCGCCTCCTGGGTTCAGGCAATTCTCCTGCCTCAGCCTCCCGAGCAGCTGGGATTACAGGCACGCACCGCTCTAAAATTTTCTAACACTGGTTTTCTTTTTGAGACAGGGTCTCACTCTTTTGCCCAGGCCAAC